ATAATTAAATTAAAGCTTAAATTTTTTCCCTGGAAAATACAGCAAGCCATAGGGATCGTCTCAGTTACAGGGTGTTTTGTAGTTTTTAAGAGGAACTGTCAGAGGCCAGGGTGACTGGATATATTTTAAGAAATGTTTACCTTCTTTTTGACTTATGATGCACTTGCCCAGAACAACATACTTATTTGAATACGTACCTATAGCTTCTCAAAATGCTCCATCATGAATTCCTTTTCCTGTAGACAATCACTTGTAAATGACTTGTGCTCTCAGAACTCTGACTCTATTCTTCTGTACATTCGCTTACTTTTCTGTACCTTCTCTCCCGAGTGCGTCGATGGCTTATTCCATTCAAAACAAAAGAAAAAAGGGAGGTGGAGGCAATAGTTGACTAATGCTAATTTTTTCTGGGGGGGGGAGAGGAAGGAACATCTCTCAATAACCAATATCATTAGCTTTCAGTGTTTGTTTTCTTTATAGTAAAACTGTTTGCAAAGTAAATGTGGCTGCAATTCTGCAGTAATTTTTGAAAGTACAAGAATAAATATTTCAATTGAAGAATTTTTCTTTCCTTTTCCACCTGTTTTCTTTTCCAGGTGAAGTGGCACTTGTTTCTCAATATATAATTAACATATAATTTCACATTAGCAAGATTTAGTATACTGTGCCCCTATATGGAGGAGTGAGTGTCATGTATTTACTTCTGTTCTTATCCCATCCCTTCTACTTCGTTGAAATATACCAAGGTTGTTAATGTTGTTATCCAAATTTATTATGAAGCAAGAGCTCCCTCTTCTGGGTTAGAGCTATATTAAAATTGGAAAGCTCTGCAACTTTCCCTCTTATTAATTTATTTTTTAAACTATCCTAAGTGTTTCATGTCTTTACAACAGGTAATGATTGCAGTACTTAAATGTAGGAATGTTTTTCTGCAAGTTTTGGTAAAAACTGTGTTAACCTTGGAATTTGGGATCTGATGAATGGCTTGGGATCATGTTTAGGGGTGTCATAATGCCTTGGGTATAAGAACTACAGGGCATCTAAAATAACACTGAGATAATTTTCATGATAATTGTTGACTAAGTGGTTCTGGTTTTAGATATACCACAATTTTAATGCTGTCTAGATAGTGGTCTGAAGTTCAAAAGAAATTTAGAAAGCATCCTTTGGTCAAATTTTAATATAAGAGCTTGTTAAATATTTTACTCTACAGTTAAGTTGTTTAATGGAAATTTTCCATTAACAAGAAGTATCTTTGAAGGTGATCAGTGTAATCAGTGCTGCTGCCTGGCTACAACAAAGCTGTGTTAAAGTTGCATATATTGCTAAAGAGAGTGCAAAGCCTTTCTGGTCGTATAGCAGGGTAGATTGATTTAAATCAAGGCAATTTAAATCATGATTTAAATCATCTCACCAGGATTTAAATCATTGATTTTAAATCACATTTCCCTCTGATACTTCTTCACATATTTCTTAACCAGTAGTGCAAATCTGATCACTAAAACATGTTAATTTACAACTCAGTATAGCATTTTACAACATCTGTCCTTAAACTCTCTCTTTTTTTTAATTTTCACATTTTATTAACTCTAGCAGACAAGTCATCACAACGCTAAACGTATGCTGTCCTTAAAACTTCTACAACTAGATATCATCTTCCCCATTCCCAGTGTCATTTTTATTCATAGACTGAAACAGAAATATGAGTTTTCCTGCTTTTTCAACTCCCAATTGATTTCTTAGCTTTGCGTGAATAATACCAAACAATGAAAACATTCTCTCTGTGCCTGCAGAGGAAGCTACTGCTGTGAAAAGTTGGCTTAGCAACTGAAGGAACTCTGTTTCAAGGTGCCTGGCTAATGATTTCCACCAATTCAGGGGAGTGACTTTGTTCAAAACATCATCAGTAAACATGTACTGTTTAAATGGTTCCCCTCCAGCCCTGAAATTTATCATCACTGGCATAACTGAGGAGTGATTTTGAGATGCCCATGGCATGGCAGCATCATCTTCAGAAGTTAGGCTACCTTTATATCTGGGGATGAGAATGTTTGCAAGAAAATGAGGTGGAGTTAGTGCTTGATCCATTCGCATCTTTATTGCCTGCAGTTTAACTTTCTGGTTAGGTATTTCTTTTGTCAATGTTTCTTGAAGTGCCTTCCAAATTTTGACAGCATCAGCAATGCAGCAACAATCTCTCTGAAGTTTGTGTAAGGCTATGGATATAGGCTTCAGTATACTGAGCATATCCTCTACATTCCACTTCAATCCAGTGTTAGATGCTTTGGATGAGATACTTGCATCTGTTTTATCATGGCTTTCTTCACAATTTCCATGAGAATAGGCCAGTTCTTAATAAATTGTTCAAAACAGTCAACCACAGAATTCCATCAAACACCTTGAGGGAGAATTAGTTTGGATCCTCCTGCTCTCTTCAGTGAAGCTGATACAAAATGGTTGTTACGGAAGTATTTGCGACTTCAACAACCTTTTTTATTTAATTCCTGGAGAAGTACTTAAGTTTTTGGCTAAAAGATGCATTAAATGGGCATTATGTTATTAAGGAGCATCCTTCCGTTTCTTCTTCTAAGGATCTTCTCATCTTTGCCACATTCGGAGCATTTTCTGTGACAAAACTGCGCACGTGACAGGTGAATTTTTGTTCATAGTTTATTACAGCTTTCACTGCCACTTCTTTTAAATATTCTGCTGTGTGGGCATTTCCCAATGTATCTATTGTTTCTGAAGGATATGCAACCCCATCTTTTGTGTCACACAGGCACATATTACTGGAACATTGTGTACATTGCTCCACCCATCATGACATAAACTGGCAAAATTCCCCTCAGTATTTCTCACGTGTTGTTCAAGTTCCTTCTCATACACTGTATCTAGTAACCCTCCACCAATGTCTGCTCTACCAGGTGGAGTGTAGCCTGGTCGTAAGGACTCAACCATGTCAATGAAGTGTTTATTGTTAACAATGCGAAAAGGAGAAGTTGTGGCATAAATGAACCAAGCAATCTTGTCATCTATGGTGTCTTGTTGGTATTTGCTGATCCTTACTACAAACCCATCCATGGTGGTGGTTTTACTGGATGATTGAGATCTTTTGCTTGCTACTGATACTTTATTGTCTGAAATAGGTTTTGTTGCAGCACTGCTGCTAAAAGTACCCACGGATGACTCTGAAGTTGTTGCAGATAGACAGTCAAAGTCTCTTATGCTTAAATGGGATCCTGAAACAAAAAGGATTTTTGAATAGTTGTTCTTCTCAGTTCTATTATTCAGTTAATTATTTACCTTTTTTTCAGCAAGGATGCAGATCCGATTCCAAATTACCAAAAAAGCTAAGACTGACTGCACTTAGAGTGCACTTAATTTTGGAGTAAGCCCCATTGAACTCACTAGCACTTCTGTTTTTTGAGAAAACAAGCATAGGATGGGGTTCCCTTGGGAAAGCTGAGTTATGCTGAAGTAAAATAGGGAATAGACTTATGGCATCACTGTAGCAGAAGGCCACCTCTGTTTCTCCCCAAAAAACTCTGCTCTGTGACAATTTGGTTAGGATGGACCCAGCAGAGGATACACACCTTAACTTATCTTTTTAGGTAATGTGAGCTGGATACATTCCTGAGGGAGGGGGGAAACCTGCTCCCTCTGCCTCCGTGACTGGCATCACATACCTGGGTGAGGGGCTTGGGCTCCCTGGGGAGCTAGGAACTGCCAGTCTGCCCAGCAACTAGTGATGCATTTCAAATTGGCTGGCTGACAGCCAACAGGTGCTGGCCTCCATTGGGCCAAGTAAATAAGGTCATAAGAGCTATTTAAGTTAAGGACTGCCCAGGAGGCGGAGGCAGCAGCCATGAAGAAGACTCGGAGAGAGAAGAGCTGGACCATTTGAAACTTGCTCTTTCTCTCAAGACTCATGATCAAGGAACTGCCTGCCTCCAGAGGGAATCGGTACTTGTGAGTAAGCTACATGAGATCTAACTAACCAATAACGTTCTCCTTTGTACCTAGCATGGGAGACTTATTGGGAGTGGGTCTAGATTATGCCTTGGGGTCCCCTTGGCTTGGCTGACTAAGGGAGACTTCTACTTGTGCTTCCAACAGGGAAGCACCCCCAAGTGCTTGAAGTGAGTCAAGTACCCTTGAGGGCTACTAGGCCTGTGTTACCCATGGGATGCAGAGCCAGCATCAAGCTCAGCCCTGGGCGGTGGCAGTTTTTACCCCAGGCTAGCGGGTGTGCTCTAGGAAGGGGGTCAGCCAGACGTGAGGCACCCTCAGGGAGGCACTCGGAGCCTGGAAGGTGGTCGGGTGCAGTGAGGTGGGCAATTCAATGCAGGAGCACCCCCTACTGGCCCGCCACAGTCACCATTATGTTCTGGGGCCATGATATTCCAAAATAAGGGGCATGTATTATGTAATATAAAATAAGAAAATGACACCCCGTGGCAACTGGCAACTCCTAGATTTCTCTTATTGCAGCTTTCTGTACTGTAGACTTGGGTGATAAATTCTAAACCGAGTTTACTAATTAAACAAGCCATAAGGATTAGCTAAGCTAAACTTATTTTTCTAGCAACATCCAACATAGCAAACAGTTTGGGAATTTACTTGTTAAATCACATTTATACTAAAAGGCATAGAGAGAGTCTTGAAGAATTATGCATTGCAAAGTGAATTATTTAATTTACTAACCAGTTGATCCACATTGTTCTTCAGATATATCCACACCTCCATCCACATCATTTTCTCCCAATAAGCACTTTTCATTATGATGTTTCATTCTTGCAACTTGGCCCTGCATCTCCTTGCACTGCTTACACTTGACACATTTTCCTTTTTTACTCAGGGAAGGAATTTCTTCAAAATATTCCCAGATAGGGTTTCTCCTATGCCCAAAAGTCATGACAGTTTTTCTGTGGTAAAAGTGTGTGGGAATATAGGAAGCTGTGTGTGTACTACTGAATAATGTCTTCCCTTTTTCTTTCCAGTCCTCTCCACTCTGCCTCTGTCCTTTCCTATATTGTCTCTCTGACTTTAAGACAGTGTCTTGACAAATTCTTCTGGCTTCTTGGCCCAGCTCCACCACCACATAAGCACAGAACAACAGCAATCCTATCCAGCCTGTGTTCATGCACGTGTGCCTTGAGTCTGCTGAGAAACAGAAACTGAAAGCCCAGAACTTTCAAGAAGCAAGAGCTGGTAGTTAGGCTGGGCAGAGACTAGAGCCATTTTCATGAGATGAAAAACTGAAATGAATGCCCATGTCTGATTGGTAGGTAACTCAATGAGTGTGACAGAGCCATTAATTCATTTTTATGAAACTAATTATAGGTTTAGCATGTTTGTGATGAGATTTAATTGTAACTTATTTTTTAAACGTGAGAGAAATTTAGTATTTTATTGATGATTTAAAAAAAAATTAAAAATCCAATTTTTTTATTTAAAAAAAAAAAAAAAAAAAGATTTTTATCCACCCTGGGTGGGGCTATCTTTGCGGCCCTTGACAGCTCGCCAAGACTCATTAAGCAGCCCTCCAGCTGAAAGAATTGCCCGCCCCGGTATAGGCCCTGACGAACATCACGGGGCTTAGAAAAAGAAGTTCAGGTTGTTGACAGAGCTTCCTAATTCTGTAGGCAACTTTGCATCCCCCCCTTGCTCTGTTTCAAAGCAGTCGGATAGGGAGAGAGACTTCCTGCATGCATTTTCTCCCGTTAACCATCTGCCAGCCCCTTCGGTCTTACAGATCTTGAGAAGAGTTGTAGTTTCATGGGTGTTTACACATTTGGTATGGCCGCATCTGCATTCTTTCATTCCACCAAAGCTCTGAACATATGAAACCCGACTTGAGATCCTCAGAGCTCTGCAGGAAGGGGACTCCATTTTTGAAGTTTTTGAGGCCTTTACTTGGTGGTAGCTGCAGACTATAATTTAGCTAGATGCTTGTTAGCCAGCAGCCCAGGACCCACAGGTCCTGTTACTGTTATTCTAAAGTCTGCCTTACATGATTTAGACTGTAATCTGCTTGATTTAGGATTTTTTGGGGGTAACCTCTAGTTTCTTGTGACTCCTTTTTAAAACCATTATAAACTAGAAATCCCTATATACCAGCTTTAAGACTGGGAACATACCAGTACTAAATAGCGTTACCATATTTTCATTTAGAAAAAAGTGGACGCCTGTTGTGAGGAGTATATGATTGTGAGGGGCAGTGATGTACTGGTGCCCTGCCCCTGCCCATTCTGTTGCCCCTCACTTCCAAGCCACAACCCTCTCCAGCCCTGCTGCTGCCTCTCACTCCTGACCCGCAGACTGCTGGCCCTTCCAGTGCGCCTCATGCCCAACCTGCAGTACCCTGCCGCACTGGGCAATGCTGGTGCCCCTCAATCCCAACCCACAGCCCCCTGGCACTGCCAGTGCTCCTCACCCTCAAGTCACAGCTCCTCTGCTCTTCTGGTGCCCCTCACTCCTGACCCGCAGCTCCCTGCTCCCTCCAGCCCTGCAACATCTTCCCCCTGCCTCTGCAAGCTAGGGCACCAGTGCTGCCGGCTGGGCCATGCAGCTCTGTGCTGCCCCTGAAGGGCCCCTCACCCCCTTCCCCCACTGGAGGGACAGGCACCATCCCGCCAGCCTCCCTTGTCCTGCTGTGTGCCTGGACAGCTGCCTCAGTGCTGGCAGGCACTGCCTCCAGCAACACACATGCCCCCTTACAGCCCCTTGGACAGTCCCCAAGCTTTGGCCCTTCAACCCCTGCCCCACACAGACTTGCGTACATCCAGCTGCTAGGGCTGCTTCCACCACCCTGCCGGCTGCATCACCCTCCCCCCAGCCCCAAGCAGCTCCCTGCTAGGGCAAGCTGGGAAATGCCAGGAAAAACTTTAAAGCTGAGCTGACCAAAAGCCCAGACATTTGATCATATTTGAAAAAAAACCAAAACACTTGGATGGAGATCGGAGGATCCAAAAAGAAGACACATCTGGGAAAACCCAGATGGATGGTAACCCCAATACTGAAAGTTTCACAGTTCAAGAATGTGCATTTTCGAAGGTAAATCTCAGAGTTAAAGCTTTTACAATGCATACAGTGTTTACAGTGAGGAATTTGATTAACTTAGCCATTACATTTGCTAACACTAACTTTTTGGTGATACCCTGAATCAAACACTGGCTGCTTTGAGGCCACCTTGTCTCGTGCATTTAGCAGCCCTATCTCTTTCTGCAGCCCAACTAGGTTATTACACAGGGTGCTTATACACGAAGAGTGAGGCTGCTCTGATGCACTGTAATTAATTGTTTAATCGATTACCGTGCTCCAGCAGACTCCAGCGTCTTGTGTATCGGCATCCCTGCACTGAAAAATGGTGGTGGGGACACTTTAAATCTCATTTGACAAACTTTAAAGTGCCCTCACTGCCGCTTTTAGCTGATACACAAGATGGTTTGGGTGTTTTAATTAGACTATTAATTTAATTTAATTAAATTAATGCCCTCCTCCTCCTTCCCCCCCCCCAACCACACACACACACACACACACTCTCTCTCTCTCTCTCTCTCTCTCTCTCTCTCTCTCTCTCTCTCTCTCTCTCTCTCTCTCTCTCTCTCTCTCTCTCTTCCCCCCCCGGAGCACATGTATGAATGCCCACAATGTACAGTGGAGATTACTGCTAGCTGCTGGGTCAGCCGCTGAGAAGGAAGCCTTTTATGCTTCTTCTCACTATTGTTGTTTCAGACCTCAGCCAAGAATCAGACAGAAGAGAAGCCTAGTGATCGTCTCAGGCTCTTCCACCCCTTGCTTTATTTCCAGGTCTTTCTACCCTAACAACCATGTTCCTAGCAACCCAGCACTTGTCCGTTCCTCAGGTACTACACCCCTTGTCTTGACCTATGTAGCTGTCTACATAGCTGCAGGAAAGAGCTGAAGTTGTCTTTGGTGTGCAGGGGTGTAGGAAGGTAGCACTGGAAAAAAAAATGCTATAACTTCCCTTCAGGCAAGTCCCAAAACTGTCTCAATCCAGTGACAAATCCCACTGAAAGAATTTCTACACTGTGGCAGCTTATTTGCGCACAGAAACTAGGTGTCTTGTGTCAGCTATTCTGCGTGCGTGCGTGTCCAGATGTGGTGTATGTGTTTTACTTTTTAAAAAAAACGTTAAAAATTCTAAAATGGCAAGTAGTATGGTTAAAACACCATTATTTACTCTTCTTTAAAGGTCCCATTGTGAAAAGTCTTGCAGGATTTGTTCCTGTGATTTTTATGATGTTCCACATAATGCAGGTGAATGGGCAGTGAGGTAGAATCGAGTAAGTGTCTGACTCAGTTGAATAAGACCTCTTTTTAAGATCTCTAAGGAAGCTACGATATTGATTCACACAGTACACACACTTCTTCCCCAAATTAGTGATGGAAAATTGGAGTGCATGTCTTGAAAAAAAGGGCCACTGATGCATTAAAAAGATGTGATGGGATCGGATGTGTGATGCTCATGCTTGCACTTCCTGCCATGCTACACACTTTTTTGGCTGGGAGATCCCATCAGCTGATTGGGGGTTTCTGCTTGCATTAGGTTTATCTGATAACTCTGGGGAAACAGAACACACAGGTCAGTTCTGCATGGCAGCAGCAACAGCTTGCAGAAACATACAAATAAATCTTCAAGCTGCCACCATGAGCTGAAACTGTCCTGTGTGTCTATTTCCAGGAGGAGCACGTTGGATTGACTGGGAAGGGCTTCAGCATGAACACCTGCTTCTGCCACAGCTGCGTCCCAGTCGGACTGTGCATGAGGTGGGCAAGGCAGTTCCACTTGGTGGCAGCAGCAGCCAACCTGCTTGAGAACCACTGATGTAATCTGAGGCAGTACAGCAGTGGCTCTTAATCGGGGTGCTGCTAAATTCAGAGACGTAACAGGCATGCCTTGGATTTAAGAAAGTTGAGAACCACTGAATTAGCCATTTTCAACTTTTCATAATATGTGTTTTGCATGCCATATCTATTATAACCACGGGGTTCAATAAATACAAGTGTACAATGAACGAGTAGAATTAAAACAATAAATCTTATTATGGAGCTGTAAACAGCCTCTGCAGACCCTTTGCCTGGATCTGACTGACTAGCTACCTGCTTTCTAACTCTGTTCCCAACTCGCTCAGTCTCCTGGTAGGGAGCATCTTTGATTTATAAATTCTATCACTACAGAGTCAAAACAGGGGGTTGGGATGGTGCAGGTGCTAAAGCGCATGATTGACAGCCCAAGAAATTGCAAGTTTGAAGCTATAATGGAAATGCTCATGATGCAGCCTGTTAAATTCCAACAAAATCTGAATTCTGCTAAATACCTTGTCACAAGGATGTGAAAAAAGAAAGTAACAAAACACAGTAAAGAATGATTTTGGTATTTATAACGGTGGGGTTTATCAGGTATTGTAGAGGGCATAAATCAGTACCTTTATATAATAGCCAATTAACAGGACATTAGCATGTTTGTACGTTTGGAAATTTATTTTTCCTTAACAAATCACTAATTAGTCAGTGTTATATGTACAAATCAGTAGGACTCCTGTAAGGATTCAGTGCACAGACTAAAGATCAGAATGAGTTATTCCAGTGGCTGACTTTCGCTGTGTTCTCCTCAGTCAGTCTGGCATGTCTCAAAGTATTACTTGGCATTAAAGAACTTAGGGGGATCTCTTTGAAATAGGAAAGTGCACTTAGCGTCTATCATTGTTTTCCACAGTCGGTTGACAATTCCATGATGTTTTAATTTAGTCAGGTTTTTAAAAGCATTTGTTAGTTTTCCTACTGTTATTGAAATTGGTACCTTTTATAGAATTCTGATTACATCCTGGGGCTTGGTACCATTTAAAATCATCATGAATAATTTAGAAGGTGGGATTAAGTGCATGTTTAGTGAATTTTCACATGACACATTTATCCTTCCCTCCTTGGGAGGGTACGCACTTTCTCTTTAATGATTCAAAGGCCTTGGTGGCAGCCTCTTTGTCTTGACTGCCCACCATGACATCATCTGTATACTGCCACACGCGTAAGTCAGGGTACTTTTCTTGGCCCTCATGAACTACGGTAGCTAGAACCATGTGAGCCAGGGTGGGGCTGTGTATCCACCCCTGGGGCAACACAGTGTATGTATACTGCTATCCTATCCACGTGAAAGCAAATACTGGCCAGTGACTCGCATGGATAGGAATAGCAAAGAACATGTCCTTGATATCAGCGGATCCCATCCACGCAGGCCCATAACACCGGATACTTTCTGTC